ACAGCGGTGGGACCAGGCAAGGAGAGAAGGGAAGGGGATGGAGAAGTAGAGTAGCTCAGCCCCCTTCCAGACAGCATCTCATTCCAAAGGTTGTAGGTAGTGGGGATAGGATGAATGACCCCCCCTCCGACATTAGCGTTGTGTAACGCCAGGTCTGTAAATAATAAGACCATGGTCCTTCAGGACTTCCAGCTTGAACAGAATGTAGACCTGGTGTGCATGACCGAGACCTGGGTGCAAGATTGTAGCTGGCTCCTCCCAGGTTCTCAGTCCTTCACCAATTGCAGACTAAGGGGCGGGGGGGGAGTGGCTCTATTCATTCAGGAGGCTTACTCCTTCAGGGCACTTCTGCTGCCAGAGATCATGGGCATCAAGTGTGCCGGCCGTGTGTGGGATGCCAGGGAGAGTTTGGCTATTTAGTTGGTGTACCGACCACCCTACGCATACGCCAATAGCCTGCCATCCCTGATGGAGGCCGTATAGGGCTGGGCTTTGGAACACCCTAGACTGATAGTCCTGGGCAATGTTCCCTCTAAGCCGTGGAGTCTTGTGAGCAAAAATTCTACTTTGTGAGCTACTGGCATTAAAGCTGTGAGTGAGTGATTTGGCTACTGCATAAATTAGCTTGCTCTGGAGCCACCCCTTCCTGAGCCGAGACAAAAATGTGTGAGCCAGAGGCTAAAAAAACTGTGAGCTAGCTCACACTAACTCAGCTTAGAGGGAACACTGGTTCCGGGTGATTTTAATGTCCATGCTGATGATGCAGCCTCCACTCAGGCAATGGATCTGGTGTCACATATGGTGGTGCTAGGACTCCTCCAATATGTAATGACCCCCAGTCATCAGGCCAGGCACACACTTGATCTGAGCTTTGTGGCAGGGGTTACAGTGGACCAGATCACTGCTTTGAGGGAATGAACAAACATATGGACAACAGGGACCCAATAGATGTTGTTTACCTTGACTTTCAGAAAGCTTTTGATAAAGTTCCTCATTAAAGGCTCCTAAGTAAGCTCAATAGTCACGGGATAAAAGGACAAGTCCCTTTGTGGATAAAAAACTGGCTGATTAATAGGAAACAGAGAGTGAGTATAAATGGGCAGTTTTCTCAGTGGAGGGTGGTAAGCAGTGCGGTACCGCAGGGATCAGTACTCAGTCCGATGCTTTTTAACTTGTTTATTAATGATTTGGAG